TGATGAGACTATCTTGATATGGTTCTGAAATCTGACTTGATGGTTAGACTGTAGTTTAGATTACCACTAACCTTTGTGTCCAGGAAGGATAGGACCTGGCATTTAGAGCATATTCCAACTCAAAACGACTTCTCAGAGCTGCCACATGACTTCGGCCTGGCCCTGCCCGGCTCACCAGGCAATCAGAAGAAGAGGAAGGTGAGAGAGACCCGCTGCTGTTACTGGATGCAGGAGACATCAGCTGAGTGAAGGAGAGGCAGTTTGAATCATTTGATAAATCCAATGGGTATAAAGGAATAGAGTGGACTATAGATTTATTTTAATTTTCTGTTCCCAGATTTTTCATATTAGTGAATGCTCTTAACCATCTTAGCTTGCTTTTAGTGTTTCCTTTCAGCCTCTGGTGGCAACACCTGACTAGCCTTTTTGATCCAGTTCTATGTTGATAGCTGGCCTGTTATACCTATCTTCATCTTTCCCAAAATACAATGGCCCCAAATCAGATTCACAGAATAGATATTTAGATGTTTATTATTCAATGATCACAACAAGATTCTCAACATTCTTCAATATGGCAATAAGACTCATGACAGAGTTCCTTTAAATTGTACCTAAAGTTATTCCCTTTGCATTAAATTATTACCTTGACTTAAAGTGGATTCACACACTTTCCCAAGAACACATTTATTTAATAGATGAAGGATGCTTTAGTGTCTGGCAAATGTTGAACCAAACAGAAGCAAACCAATGCCTTTGCTACATGTTAGTTCTTCAGATGTTGGACTCATCCTAATTTTTTCTTCCCTGTGATAAACATTCCTGGTTCCTCCAGTTGGTTCTAACCTTACACAATTTTCAAACCATTCACTATCCCGATCTCTCTCCATGAAAATATATGTCCCAGTTTTCATTCCTTTAAAAGGATCAGGGGCAAACTAGGTACCATTTTGTTTGGTATTCTATTCTATTCTATTCTAATCTGTAGCCAGACAACATATTTTAACTGCCAATGAGTTTATTACCCACTCTCATTCATGATGCTTCTTAAGCATGTGTCTAGCATTTCATTCTTTTATTGTTTCTTTAGCTCTTAAGCAGAGTG